GCATGGTGGAGACTGAAAAGAGAGAGTGAGTGAGTGAATGAATGAATGAACGAGCTGGTCCGTCTCTCCAGCGATGGGGAAGCGAGCATCTGTGATCTAGCCAGGTCATGCTTCACGGATGTCCACTGGCTGGCTCCCAGGGGCTCCATCCCTTTTAGCTCTGAGGTTGCTGTGTGGAGAAGAGTGGCTCACAAGTGGGATTGGGCCTCGGCCTAGTCAAGTGTCCCCTAGCTTCTGTGTCACCCCTGAAGGGTCAGGTCTGTCTGCTTCCTCCCCAGCGGGGCCTCTGCCCACAGGACCCACCTTCCTTCTGAAGGTGGGCTGAGGGTGGAGCCCTGCGTGGCTCTCCCCACACAAGCCGACTGTCTTCCTCCTACAGGGCCACTGAAGGCGGGCTCTGTATTTCTGTTTATGTCACTGGCGGTTCTGAGACCATGCATCCTGAGTTGAAGTGAGTAGAATGGAGGTACAGTGAACTCATACCCCACAAGTTCAGTGTGGCAGGAGGGACCAAGCTTTACCAGGCTTCAGGGAAGACCAGCCCCTCCTCTAAAGCCAACCCCCCCATTCCTATGAACTGTCCAAATGTCTGAATTCCTGAGATCCCTGCTCCCACTCTCTAGGCTACGGCAAGGGGAGTAACTTTGGCCATGATTCTAGAGGAGGCAGCAGAGTAATTACAGTTACTGGAAGTAATCCTGCTTCCTTTTAGCCTTCTCTAGCCCGCTAGAAGAAAAATTAAAAAAAAAATAAAACAGAAAGAAATCAAAACAAAACAAAACTTCCCCAAAACACCAAGCCGCAGGCGGGGGTGGGGGACGGGTTCTTAAACCTCCTTAGTTTAGTCTGCGTGGTTGGTTAGGAGGGGGTAGTGAGGGGGTGGCTTAAACATTTGCATTCCTGGGGCTTAGCTGGCTCTTCGGGGGTAGAGTTTCTGGGTTAGTGGTCCACCAAGATGGAGTCAGAACTCCTTACAAAGAAAGCATGTGTGTGTGTTGGAATTTCAAATATCCTGCAAGGCTTGGGTGGCCTCCTTGAGCACCAAGGGCATGGACACAGGCTCTCGTGTTAGGGAGACTTGTCATGGAGTTGGGTCTTCAGACCTTTATAGCACGTTCACTGTGTGTTGGGGGCACAGCTGAGAAAGGGGTAAGAAGCTTCTAGGTACCGAGTGGTGGGAGACAGGCATGGGGTTGTTCCCATTTTATCACAGCAGAGGCCATTAGGGCTGAAGTCACCTGATTGTCACTGTAAGGTGCCATCGTCTTCAGGACCAGTGAGATGGCAGAGATGTAAGATGCAGGTCCCATGACTGAGGTAGTGTTGGGGGAGAAAATGAGTATGTTAGACAAGGAGGTCAGGAATGGACAGGCCAAGGTCATGGGAGAAGATTTTTATGGACAAGCAAGCTGGAGGGCACAGACCTGGTCCTTTAGGCAGGACACAAGGGCTGGAAGACTATCAGCCAACTCTACTCTGGGTCAACAGGCACAGTCCCTCTGTGGGCAGGGAAGAAACTGTCCTAGGCATGGGGCTAGGAGCTGAGTGTCTCCAGTGGTGGCTCATAGGCACAGTGGGGCTGGAGAAGATGACAGCCATAGGGGCAGTCCAGTAAGTGCCACCTGTGATACTCCCACCCCTACCCCACCCCACCATGGCTTTGTGTCCTGTGAAGCAACAGCCCTGGTGTCTGTTTTATATGTTGCAAAAGCTGTCTGTCTGTCCTCAGGAAATACGCAGCTGGGTCATGTTGGACAGGCAGTTGATATGCCTGCCCCCTTGGAACACCTATTCTGTAAGAGACTCAGAGGGTCAGCCCTGGAGATGGAGTCTTACCTTGGCCCTGTCCCTGTAGCTTGTCTTTCCTCAGATCCTGGCACATGCCAGGCTCAGGACTCAGTGGGTGCCAGCATTGTCTCACCTAATAATCAAGTCGTTCCTATCGGGTTCACAGAAAGGGGAAACTGAGGCCCACAATATTGAAGGTTATAACCCAGCCGGGGCCACAGCACACTGAGAATTTCAAAGCCCTGTGACTTTCTGATTCTGGCAGATTTTCCAGGCTCTTATCCATCCCTGTTTGGAGAAGTAACCATTAACTTGCCCCCTCTGTATGGTGTGCTCATCAGCTGTTGGCAAGTGTGCTCAGACATTCCCACTGATAACTGACCAAGACATCTCTGAACAGGGGCCCGAGAGCCTCAGCTAATACGTTTTCTTCAAAGCGGGGTGAGAAATGGCTTCATCCCTGGGCAGAGTGTAAAGTGGGACTGGGGGTGCTGTGCTAAGGGATTCTGAGACAATTGGGGTCACCTGCTGGTTCCATTGTGATTGACAATTAGTGGACTATTTTGGAGGGCACACACACAGGTGCAGGTATTACAGAGGGTGGTGTTTTTAGAACTTTGGACCTGGCCTTGGCTACTCTGATGGCCAGCAGGAGGCAGGGCCCCTTGTCTGGGAGGGGAGCTCTGGGTCAAGTCACCAGACACAAGACCCTATCACCCTCACCACACCCTTCCTAAGGCTCTTCCCAGACACCTTTTGTTGTCTGGCTCTGACAGACGTCTGGGCTCCCAGGGAGGTTCCTGATGGGGAACCTTAGAAACAGGTCACTCCCTTCCCGTGTAGCCAGCACTGACCCAGAGGTGACCTGCCCCATGTGACGGTGTCTGTCTGAGTGTCACTCTTTGATGCTGGCAGTGGAGAGGCCAGGTGGCCATCTCTTCCCAGCTTTGGCCTTTGAAGACTTTGTCACCTCAGCCACAGCACTCTGCATGCTCCTACGGTCAGCCCCTCCTCCCCTCTGCCATATTGGAAAGGGGAAATCCAGCCTTGACCTCTTCCGCTCTCACGAGCGAGCGAACGAGCGCTCATGAGCTGGCGGCTCCCAGTCTCTGGATGGAGCAGGCGAGTTCCTGCTGGGCAGGAGCCAAGGGCTGCGGGGGCTTGATATGGCCCCTCTCTGGCCCCTACCCCTTTGCCTCCCACAGAATCCTGGGGTTTTCCATTTCTTCCTGGCTGGCTTTCTCGGTCCCCTCCACCCCCAGGCCTTTTGGCTGGGACTTTAGGAGATCTGCCCATGGATGACAGAGCCCCTGCTTGGAACCGTAGACCCAACTCCTGAGGCCCAAAGAGAAAGTCAAGGGTGGCGTTCTTCTTTTGAGGAAAACTGAGGTATGGGCCTCAAGGAGGGAATTACTTTGTTTAAGCCACAGAATTCCTCCCCAGGGTATCTATCTGGTGGCTCCATCCTGGTGACAATATTCCTGGGTTTCTTTCCTTCCAGTTCTTACCCTTTTTGTTTGTTTGAGACAGGGTTTCTCTGTGTGTAGCTCTGGCTGTCCTGGAACTCGTTCTGTACAGAGATCTGCCTGTCTCTGCCTCGAGAGTGCTGGGATTAGAGGCGTGTGCCACCACTGCCTGGCACCTATCTTTTTTGTGTGGCTATATTAGGACCTTTATTTATCCCTCCCCAGACAGTTTCAACTTGTGGAATGGTGTGTGTGTGTGTGTGTGTGTGTGTGTGATAACTTGAATGTGGAGGTATGAGGACACTTGTGGGAGTTGGTTCTTCTATGCCATAAGCCTCTACCAGCTGAGTTCTATCCCCAGCCCAAGGGACACTGATTTCTGATAATCTCTTATAGTTTTGGTTTCGAACTTAGCCTTTAACGGCTGAGCCATCTCTCCAGCCCTAATTTCTGACTCTCACACCTATGTTTTTCTCAGTGAGTCTGGCACCTGTGATACAGCTGGACCTGCCCCTAAGTGAGCAAGTTGTTCTCCTTGCCATGTGGATCACTGTGAAGCAGGCCCAGACACGGGAGACTGCACGGCCATCCATGGCAACAGTGAATGACATTTTCAGTGGCCCGCAGTGTCATCCTGTCTGCTCTGCTATGTGCAGGCTCTGCTGCAGTTCTACTCTTCAGCACATAGTAGGTCCCCAGTAAGCTTCTCATAGGGAGTGTGGAGATGTTCAGTGCTGGCCGCATGAGCCTTTCTATCCTCAAAGTCTTTAATGGGCAGCTGTGGCAGCCTAGGGGGTCCTGGACTGTCCCCGCTGAGGAGGCTGGATGGGTGGGCACGGGGTGGGAGCCAAGACAAAAGCCTTTTGTATCCTTGGAGAAATTCTAACCCTGTCTCTCCCTGATGCTGGAGCTGCCAGTGGCCAGCCTGTGCTCCCATAAAGAGATCTTTGTGTGTGGTTCCTGGTGGGAAGCAGCTGCTGGCCGGTGTCTCCTGGTGCCCAGAGGCTCTGGGATGGGTGTGACAGCCTTGAAGCCAGGGAGCGTGCACCATGACAATAACTCTGTGACCCTTAACTTCTTAGAGCTGACTGACACCAGGCTAGACGGGCGCGTTCAGGACACGAAGTCTGTTTCCTGCGCTAAGGGGCCTGTGTGGCCGCATCCAGTGCAGACGCATTCTTCCTTCGCAGACGACGGGGACACTGGCCTCTCTGGCTGCTGGATGGGAAGGTGGTCGGGTGGAAGGTGTAGCAGCTGGCTGTCCTATCTGGAAGGACAGGACTCACTGGCTGTTGCTCCCGAAGAGATGGTTTGTGTGGGTGGAGGGAATGTGTTGAGCCTCTCCTGTGCCCGTGTAGATGTGGATTGCCTAAACTGGGGCTGGGTGCCCAGGGGCCCAATGCTCTGTGGTCCGTCTCTGAGCTGATATCCTTGGCTCTGGGCCAGGGAGGAGAGAGGGAGCAACCAAAGCTGCTTCCTAGGCACAGCCAACTCTACCCTCTAGAGACAGTTTGGGCTGTAGAGAATTTGTCTGCATCTCTAGGAAGTGAGGGTCCCTGGAAGGTAAGCTGGGGGGGGGGTGGAGGAGCAGGGTTTACAGCCCGCCAATTGGGGACAGACAGAGGGATGCATGGGTACCCAGTCCGTGTAGTGGTGTATCTGAGGGAGGTGCTGGGTCCCGCTTCCCTAGAGTATCGTGCAGTGTTCCTGTGGAGCATGGTGGCATAAGAAGGAGGAGTCTCACACTTATCCCACAGGCTTTATTCATTACCACGCCGGGCACCATTCCAGATCTTGAGACGTGTGGGCAAGATGAAGTTCCCGCCCTCGTGGGGTGCCTACGGGGTGAAGACAAGTCTCCAGCTGGTGTCTCCTGGGCACAGCGTTTCTGGGGAAGCGAGGGCTGGGTTCCTGGGCTAGGAAGGCTAGGGCAGACATGTCTGCTATCGCAGGCGATGGCTGGCAGGCCTCGGTGGGGTCTGATCTCAGAGCCAGGCCTCATGGGAGAGAGGGGGTAGCCCTCTGAATGAAGGAGACTCCTTGGATGATGCAGAGGCCCTGAGTTTCAGAATCTCGGAAGACTGGGGAGCGTGGCAGGGTGAGGAAAAGCAGGTGACACGGCCCAGTGGAAGGCCTACAGGCTCGTGGGACGCTAGCTCATGCCTGAAGGCAGCCACGGGAGAGTGTGAGCAGCCGAGGGACATAAGCTGGCTTAGAAGCCACCAGGGAAAGGGAAGGCTGTGACATGAGGGGCTCATGGTGGCCTCTGGAAGGAGCAGAGGTGGGGATGATAACGACCTGGTTCTTCCCAGACTGACTGGATCTCTGCCCTCACACTTGGCCGTGATGTGACGTCAAATAAAGGTCACCAGGAGGCAGGTGCCCCACCCAGGAAGCCTTTGCAAAGTTCGCCTGGGAACCGTGGAGGAGGAGGTCTCAGCATGCCCGTGGCCCTGTGCTCGGTCCCCAGCACCATAAATAAATAGTTTAAAATATTCATAAGCAAACAAAGGAAAAGCCCTCAACCCGGGGAGATGACTCAGGTGTTACAGAGCTTGTCATGCAAACACGAGGGCCTGAGTTTAATCCCCCAGAACTTACAAAAGAGCACCACGCCTGGCGGCACGTGCCTGCAATCCCAGTGCCGGGGAGGCAGGGACAGGAGATCCCCACAGCTTGTAGCCAGCCAGACTAGCTCAGTCAGTGAGCTCCAGGTTCAAGAGGAAACCCTGCCTTTAAAAAGGTAGTGAATAAGGAAGATAGATGTCCAGGGTTGACCTCCGGCCTTCATGTGTGTACAGACACACAGACACAGACACACACAGACACACACACACACACATACACACACACACACCCCTAAAACAGAAAACAAATTGGTTTGGTGAAGGAAGAGTTGAGGAATCTAGGCGCTCTGGGTCCGGGAGTTCCAACCCTGGCGTCAGCAACTGTGTCTCTTGCTGTTTACGCGTCTCATTTCATTCCTTCTGACCCCTTTCTCAGAAGGTCATTCAGGCAAAAGTCCCGGGATTGTTTTGACTGGTCCCATATCTTCACTGTCCCAGGGCCATGTAAATCTCCTGGTACAGCAGTTTGAAGTCGTGTCCCAACTCCCAGGGCCCAACAGTCGTCCAAGCCCTCCTTTGTGGAAAGGGACTGGAAGTCCTGGAAGTCCTGTAGGGAAGTCAGCGCCGGGTCCCCTTGGCATTCCCGTCTCCTCGCTAGGAGCAAAGAAGATGTCTGTTTTGCCACTCCGAAAGCCAGCCCTACACCTCACTGCAGAGTGCTCCATTTGTCAGGGTTAAAGGTCATGGTGGCAAAGCGTAGTGTCGGGTACAGAGTATCTCAGGTTCACCTGGGAAGATGAGCCAGGGGACTGGCCCTGTCTTATACTGCCATTGTCCCAGCTGTCCCCCAAGAGCATGACAGGGCCAGCTGCTGGCATCAGGTGGGAGAGCTCCCACACGCTGGGCCTCCCGGACTCGTGGGAAGGCTTCTCGGGTGGGAAGAGTTCCCCAGTGGCAATCAGAACCTACTCCGAGCACCACCAAGGACTGGCCTTACTGCTCTTCTGAGACCCACCCAGTCTCCCCCTGCCACAGAGGTAGATACCCACAGGCCACTAAGATTCCACCCTGCACAAATTCTCAGACCATTGGAAGCACCCTTCCGCCATCCAGAAGAGTCCAGTGGTGTCCCACGGTCATCTCCTTTGTGCTCCAAAAGGGACATGATCAGAATAGATGCAGAGGTAGGCAGAGCTTGGCCTAGATGCCTCCGAGTGGCCTCCTTGGAGGGCTGTGGAGACCTGGCACAGGAGCTGGGGGGAAATCTAAGAGTTTTGAGAAGTTGGGATACCCACAGGGCCCTGCTGCAACTGCCATGTCTACTTTCCCAGAGAGAGCTGCTGGCCAGCAGTAGCCTGCGTACTTACCCCCTGGAGACAAACAGCCAGCACCCTGATGCTAGCCCAGCAGGCAGTAAGCCTGACTTTCCAAGGGGCTTCCTTCATTCTGAAAGTTTAGTCTACTTCGGTTTAATTTCAAAGACGTATTTCTTTTGAGTCAAAACATAAAAAATCCCCCTGTATGCACTGTAGAGCATGTTGGGTATAAGGAATGGGTGTTGGGGGAGGAGCAACTGCAGCATTCTCGAAGCCTTGTCTGTCTGCTGCCCTGGGAGGTGCTGCATCCCAAAGGTACTTTTTTCCCCATCTGAGGGTCTTGGCTTTGGGGTTGGTGTTTCAGGGCTGGGTAATCAGGTGGTTTCTTGTGTTTAGACGAATCTGCTGTTGTTGTTTCTTAGCCAGGAGTCAAGCATGACCCTTGTGCACATGTGTAGTACATCAGACAAGCTGGCTGGCCCTCCGTGCCCTCCTAAGTAGCACTCACGGGGTGGGGGAAAATACAGTTTTATTTCTGTCTATGCCAGTTTAAATTTAAATTTCTGTGCTTTCTCTCTCTCTCTCTCTCTCTCTCTCTCTCTCTCTCTCTCTCTCTCTGTGTGTGTGTGTGTGCGTGTGTATGTGTATGTGTGTTTCATGATGTTTGGACTCTGTGGCTGTAACATTATTATGGGCACAGTGTATGCATCAGTCTGTGTCTTCTGTCTTTGTCTTTTGGGAGTGATTGTTTAACAATGGACCCTTTGCCACATAGGTGTAAAAACTGGAAAAGGATGGTGAATTCTGGCACAAATGAGGCTCTGGGTAATAAAGAGGCAGCCAAGGCCTGCAGAGTTGCTGGGGTGGGGCCCTGGGCAGTGAGAATTCAGTGTCTGTGTCCAGGACATAGTGAGAGTCCCAGATGAGGTTGGGAAGTACAGAGGGTGCTTTTCTTAGGCCCGTTCAATGTATTGATTAGGAATCCATGACCTTGAAGGGCGCTTGGCCTGGGCCTGAGTAGCCTGCTTCTGTAGGATGGGAGCAGAGGCCACAGGGACAGTGGGCAGCAGGAGAGCATCCTGGGAGCCAGAGTAACCTTGGCACTCACAGCTCTCTCCTGGGCACTCTGCCTCAGTCCTGACTCCAGTGACTTGTCTGTCTGTTTGTTTTGTTTTATGAGAGAGGCCTCATGTGTAACCCAGCTTTGCCTTGAACTCACTATGTGGTGGAGGCTGGCTTCAGTCCTGTCCCACATCACCCTCCCATGTGCTGGGACTGTGGGCACATGCTACCACACTTAACTTGGCTTTAATTCTCTTCACCAACAAGCAGGTGTGTTGGGCACCAGCGACACCCACGTGTCTCCAAGCTGCTTTCCAGATATGTGGACCTGGGTGATACCCTGTTCAGTGTCTCCCTGACAAAGGAGCCCCGAGGCTCAGGGGAGATGTGAGCTTTTAGCTACTTGAGGCTTGGTTTTTCAGTGTCATAATCTGCTTTTTTTTTTTCTTTTGAGTTGGCTTCTACCTCCTGCCAGTTTGTCTCCCTGCCTGTTTGGTGAGTCCTGCAGCTTGTGAGTATGTGGGCTGCCTGGAGTGGCCCTGACTGGACCCAGATGCAGTTTGGAAACCATGACTGGAAGGAAAGGGTACTGCAGAGAGCCCTAGGGAACTGTTCACCATAAGAACGGTGTCCTTCCCTCCGTGCTAGGCCAGTTGTCCTTTTCAGCAGGACTGCTTTCGGGAGGACAGACAGTGCTGGCCATTGGTCAGCTTAAAGAGACAAGAGGGTACTGCTGGTGGCGATGGGCCACATTTCTTAACAGTTTTGAGCATTTGTCCTGGAAATGCCAGGATGAAAGAGCTCTTCTTTTATTACTTTTAGATGTCTATGCCTTAAGTTTCCCTTTCTTTTATTTTCATATGAAAGAAGTGTTTATTGTGGAAAATATAGATAACCTAAAATTTACTATTTAAATCCTAGGCTCAAGCCCAATGCCTCATGCATCGTGAGCAAATGCTCTACCACTGAACCCCATCTCCAGCCCCTAACCATTTTAAAGAATAAATTCAGGCTGTCGAGATGGATGTGTCAGTGGACAAAGACAGTTGCCTCTAGTTAGGCCTGATCACCCGAGTTCAGAGCCCCGGAACCATGTGGTGGAGGCGGAGAACTGGTTACTCCATGTTGTCTGCTGACCTTCACAGACTTGCCGTGGCACGCACCCCCCATACAATACACTAACAAATAAGTGTATGAGCGTAAGAGTAAGTTCAGAGGGGGCGGTAATATGCGTGTCATCATGCAGCTGTTGCTCCTGCCCATGTCCAGAACCCAGCTGAAAGTCTGTCCCATGCGGTCCCCACTCTCCCTCTCCACCACCCCACCCAGCCCTAACATTCACCAATCTGCACCAGTCTCTGAATGCTGTTCTCTGTAAGGACCACATCGTTGCCAGAGACTTTTTCCAGCCTGGTCCTGCTTTAGCCCCAAATAAACACATGGATGCTATATTAATTATAAAACTGTTGGTCGATGGCTAGGACTTCTTATTGGCTAGCTCTGTCTTAATTATTAGCCCATAACTACTAATCTATGTATTTCCATGTAGTCTTGACTTACTGGTGACTACATGGCATCTCCTCAAGGTCTCTCTCCGCCTACCTTTCCCAGAATTCTCCTCACTTTCTAGTCCCACCTATCTTCCTGCCTCTATTGGCCAAACAGTGTTTTATTCATCAACCAGTAAGAGAAATATATATGCAGAAGGACATCCCCCATCACCACAGAGAAGTGAAAGCATAATGTATGTATCTTTTTTGTGACTTACTTCATTTCCCAAAATATTCTCACGGGTCGTCTCGGAGCAGATGTCAGAGTTCCCTGCTCTTTTAAGTCGGAATCATTGCAGTCTGTCCATCCACGCATCCATCAGTAGACACACCGGCAGCCCCCACCTTGGCCGTAGTAAGCAGAAATGCCGTAAGCATGGCTTTTCAGTTTTTTTGGACAGTGGTTAATCTTTGCTGTTAATTTGACTGGATTTAGAGTCACCATGGAAACCCACCCTGAGTGCAGTGCCGCCTCCCGGGGGCTGTGGTCTCTGACTGAATAAAAGGAGGTGAGCTGAGCCCCAGGATTCACCTCCTTTGGTTTCCTAGCCGCAGCCAGGATGTGACCAGCCACCTCACGCTCCTGCCACGATGGCCCGTATCCTCAGTCTGTAAGCCGGAATACATCCTTCTAGGAGTTGCTTGTATTTGGGCATTCTGGCACAGCAGCGAGAAGAGCAACGGATTCAGAGCATTGGTTCGAGGGTGGGGCCATTCCTGTGATACACCCGACTGTGTGGTCCACAGGCCTTTAGAACTAGTTTTCAGGGGGAGCGTGGAAGAGTTTGGAGCCATGGGCTATGGTGCTGTAAACAGAACTGTCCTTGTGGGAGTGGGGAAGAATGCAGAAAGAAATGTGGACAGTGGGAACCTGGCTTGGGAGGTTTCAGAGAGGAACGGATGCTCTATCGGGAAGTAGGTCAGAAGCCACTCACATTTTATTCTGGCAGCAAAAGTCCTGTCTGCACTCTACCTATGTCCTGAGAGTCTGAGTGAGACGGAAAGGTAATGAGCTAATTTATTGGCAGAGGAAATTTCAGGAGAGGTTAGTATAGTCACACTGGGGCATGGTTATTACTGACTGCTCGTGTCCAGGTCTGCAGTGACAGAGAGCAAGAGGGACAGAAAGGTGGGGACATGTGCAGATTGGCTCGGAAAGGTGAGCGAGAGTTTGAAGATGTGTGCAGGGAGGGCAGGGAGAGGGGGCTGCAACTGTTGAGTGATGACCCCCATGAACTACTGACCTCTTGCTCTGCACCGAGACAACAGGAAATACGCCCTTAGGTCGAGACACCCTCCGCACTTCGCACATTGAAGACTCCGGGTCTTGTAACAGTGCAGGCACGTTTGGGAGGAGGGAACCTGAAGTAAGAATGCAGATAAAAGGGGTCCCCTGCTCCAAAATGGCCACCTAGGCAAGCATTTTCCCACACTAGCCTTGAAGGCACACAGAGGCCCAAGGGAACTAGGCGATACCTTGAGCTGACAGCAGAACTTGGCACTGTCATCCAGGTGGTGTTAGTTTTGCAGTCATAGATACTTGAGGAGGTGGTCATGGAGACTTGCACCAAGGTTCCAGAAAGCTGTTGAAGCTAGGCGGTACATGGCAGGCTTGGATTTCCTGCCAGAAGGCCTTGAGAGATATCGCGTGGATCTGAGAAGGTGAAGCCTGGACTGCAAAGGAGACTCCAAGTATGTTGGAGGCACTAAGATCATAGGACGTTATCCAAGGAAAGCTGCAGGCATGGAGTAGAGCTGGTCCAAGAGTCATGTGTGCTGTAGGTGACAGCAGGAGGGGAATGACATCATCACGAGCCCCGGATGTTAAGTATGTTTGCCCTTCTGAGTCTTGCTTTGCTCTGGTACTTCCGTCCCACGCTCCCCTTCCTCCCTTTGGACCAGGGATGCTTATTGTCTGCCACTGTATAATGGAGGAGATATAACTTGCCTTTTGAGTTTTGTAGATATAAAGTGGGCTTTGGATTTTTGAATGGTGTTTGGACTGTTAAAGGCTACAGGGACGTTTAGTCCATTTTGCATTGTAAGATGAAAAGGAGACACTGTCAGGGATGGACTGGTACCGCTTAGTGGTGATGTTCTTGAGTACCATGTGGGCAAAGGGTAGTGTTGTGACGGTTAGCCGTCATTAGCAACCTGACTGGGTTAGACTCACCGTGGGAACACGCCTCTGGCTCTGTGGATGAGGGTATTTCCAGAAAGGTCTAACCAAGAAAGGACAGCCTACCCCAAATGTGAGTGGCACTGTCCCTCAGACTGGGGTCTCAGACTCAATTAGGAGAGAGAGAAAGGGGGCCTATGAGATGTCTCTGTGGATATAAGTCTTGATGTAGAAGCCGCAGAGTCTTAGTGCAATCCCCAGGACTCCACAGAGTTGTGCTCCGACCTCAACGTGTGTGCCGCAGGGATCCATAACCAGACACTGCTCTCTTCCCCTCCCTCCCTCTCTTTCTTGCTCTCCCCCACCCACATAGAGTCATAAGATAACTTTTTTCTGAAAGAGGGGACTTGAGCTGAGCACCAGCATCCCTCTCTCCCTTCCTGACTGCAGACGCAGCGAGACCAGCTGCCTCACGCCCTGCCACTCACCGTGCCTCCTCTGCCACAGTGTCCTGGACCCTCACACTGCGAGCCTGAACAAATCCTTCCTCCCTTAAGTTGCTTTGTCACCGCTGTGAGAACTGACTAGCCGGCCGCCATGTGTACCCCACGTGGGATTGCTAGATTGCATGC